GCCATATTACACACCGTACAATCGTACATCGTCGACAGATTATTTCAATTTGTTTCGACGGGATAGAATGTTTCTAGAGGCAAGACGGGACATCGCAGAACAGGCTTCAGAATGCAAACAGGTCGGAGCAAGGAGAATTATTAATCAATTAATCACCTCGCTCGGTCGCTATTACGGCAAAGCGAGACGAGATAATAAAATACACGTAACACGGCTAGGGTGGAACAGTTTTTCGCGCGCGGCGAAAATTGCGCGTTAGCTCGTTAATGCGGCCGCATTAATGAGAAACGCGCGACGGGAGGGACGTTACGAACGGCCGAGCCAATTTTTCACGCCGCTGTAGGATATTTTTAAATTGATCCGCTGCCACGGGGCAGCGAGGAGAAGGCGCCTCGCGATCTGTACTTTTAATAGGACAGGCAATTTTCTCGCGACATCCGAAAGTTAGCTTGTCAACGCGCGCTCTGGCGTTTCCACCAACGCAGTTTATAATTTTGGACAACTATACGAAAGTTTTCTGAAATCTTACCACACAATTAAAAAAATAACCTACACCGAGATTCAATCCGCGTTGGTAGAAACGGACAGGAGGAGGGGGGACGCGCGGCGACACTCCAAGATTACAGTCGCGACGATAAAGAACGTTGGTGGCGATAATAGAAATGTCGTAGGGCGAGCGAATTCCTTGGCGCGCGCGAGCGAGCGAGCCGAAGCAGAGAGAACAGGAGGGATCTTACCTTCAATATTACGAAGTCCATGTCCAACGGCGCCGGTCGACGATCCCGTCCGACAGCCGATGATCCCGATTATCCGTGTGACGGGACGGCGGAGGCGCGCAACAGGCCGGAACGGCGGCGAGGAGCAGCAACAACCACCAATAATGCGACGCGGGAGAAGCGAACACTCGTCGTCACTCCACTTGTTTCCGAGAGCGACGCACTTCACGCGGGACGCGCCGCCGAATCGTCACCTCGCGGATCCATGCCCGTGCACCGCCGCTCGGCGCGACAGTTTCCCCAAGATTCGCTCCGTTTGCGGGGAAACGAAAGAGCAAAGCCAACGCGACACAGTGCGACGAACCGGAGGCGAGAAAGAATCACGACCCACGCGCGCGGCAACTCGGCATAGACTGAAGCAAGCGCCGGTCGCGGACCGTTAGTTAGGCACGCCGCGCGCAGCCCAACGAGAGAGGTGGGGGCGCGAGCGAGAGAGCGAGAGTGGGGGTCGGCGCGCGCGACAAGGACCAACGGTCGCGGACGTGCGAGATTCAAACGAGAGAGCAATGGAGCGTCAACGGCGACCGTCCAAGCGCGACGCGAACAAGAAGGAGAGGCCACGAAATCGGAAGACTCGTGAGAGAGAGAGGAACGCAGCGGAGTGTGTTAGCCGAGAGACAACGGGGGTAACAATGACAATTTTAATGCAATGTGTCCTGCGCGGTTGCTGCCCCGCGACAATTTTTACTTGAAGCGTCGTTGCGCGATCATCGAGGGAAGAGAAGGCGATTTTTCTCAATAATGCGCGGCAAGAAATGCCGTTATTTCGAGAAAAAGCCGCGAGAGCCGTTTACGTGGCTGCGTTTAAATTTAAGAGAAGAGACATCGTATGAATGATAATCCAATTGTTGAAATATGATTGCAGCTATAGACGATTAAAAAATATTATCTGTCTAGTATCGCTCCCCTTTTTATATAATAATATACTGTAATAAAATTACATGTAAAATTACTGTTTTTCGACAAGCGTGGAGAGCTGAGTTATTTTTTTTTTACATTAATTGAGCAGTTATGAATATTTCTACGAGATTCTATTGCCTTTGGATGTAAAGCACAGTACATAAATAAATATAATTCGATGTAGAGAATTGGTCAAGAGACGAAATATTGGCGATTGCTCGATTAGCATAAAAACAGCTTATGATGATGAAAAGTGGGAAAAATAGCAACCAGTATCGTCGACGCGTGGATATCAAATCGATGTCGACAGACCATTTCTGCCCGGGGCGAACGAAAAAAAGGGATCGGCATTCTTTTTGATAAAATAACACTTTTATTCGGCGAACGAAATAAAGCGATCCTTTTATACGCGGCAATGGATATCGACGAACGCGCGCGCGTTGAATCGGATAAACTGTAATGCAGTTACCACTGGCGATAGGATCGAAGCCGTACACGGCAGGCTCGCCAACGATTTTGCGAATTAAACGCGGGAATGATTGCACGGGGAAGAAACCGTTCGACGCAAACGCGGGCGATGATAAAAAGGCGCGATTCTCTGAAAAGATCGACTCGAAGGCTTGTCGGATTCTCATTAGACCCGCCCGGCTCGTATAGCCGCGGAAATAAAAAATTCCATTAGGTTTTACCTAAGGGGTTGACGAGAGGGCACGTCGGAGATATCTCGCGTTGCAAGAGAGAGAGAGAGAGAGAGTGGCACTAAAAACCGCAACATGTGGTTTCCTATCCGACGACCGCTTCCTCGCCCCGGTTAGAGAGAGAGAGAGAGTCGTGGGTCGGGAAAATGTGCGGCGTATTACGAAAAGAGCGGATTGAAAAAGGCGATCGGTGGAAACGTGCGACGAGGATGCGGCGCGGCGGCCGCACGGCGGTTGCAGCGAGGCGGCAAAGTCGGCGTGTGGAAGAAAGGACCGAAGGGACCCGCGTGTGCGCCGCGAGCGAAGATGCGAAGGACGCGCCGGCGCGGGGGAGAAAGGAGGAAAATGCGAGGGACTGCAAGAGCTCCTCTCTCTGTGTGCGCGGACTCCCTGCTCCGCTCTGCCGGCCCGCACAATGCACCCCGCCTGCACCCGGCGTGACCGCTGTTTCCCTGTCCCTTTCTCTCTAGTCCGTCTGTTTCCCTTTTTTCCTCTCCGCCCCCCCCCTTCACGTTGCGGCAACGGCTGTTCCTCGGACGTTTCGCGTATTCGTCGAATACCCTAGTTGCGACGTGATAGGGACGCGAAAGTAACGTGAGTTAAATGAAGCGTTGGTATTTAATACAATACTGATATTTATGTAGAGACACCTCCGCGATCCGTAAGATTAATTGGAATAGAGAATGGAAAATAGTCAAGTTTACAAAGGAACTCAAATCCGACGAGAACAATCGCATTCCTGATATTGCAATATCAATAAACTGCGATAAACTGTCCCACATTATTGTCAACGATAACTTGATACCTTTTAGAGATACAATGGAATATCTTGAATATCGAATATCTTACGATACCCTGCGCATTCTCGTGAAAAGAACAAAGTAGTAAAGACCTGTAGAGACAGTCTCCAATGTCAATGCTGTACTCTATCAACTCTGCAAATAACTCTCGCAGTTGACTCTCGGTCGATGTCAAATATTTTTGATATAATACAATTAACTAAACGCACGTTTAGATTTAATTTTCAAGCTACACGGAGAGAATTTTTTTTAATTTACCCTGAAAATCATGTAATCGTGGGACAAGGTGGCAATAAGTAAAATTAATTTTCTCCATATCTTAGCAGCTATTTTTGCGCTTTCACCGTCTCACAGAAACAACCAATCGCAAAACTATACACGAGGGTAACTGCGGTTCTTGGTGAATTTTTTAACATTCTTTATACAGAAATCGCGTATATCATTATATATACGTCTGTCGGAAATACTTGGCCCCGAGTCAAAAATTTATAATCGCGATCTTAACAAGAAAAGTTGTACAAAAAGCGACTGAGAAGTTGCAAAGTTGGAGCTACGTCGGTTGCAATCCCCAACTACCAGCCAGCCAACCAAGCAACCAACCAACCAACCAACCCTTTTACGTCGGGGCCACTTGCCGAAGCCCACTCATAATTACGAAACTTAATTTGCGAATAACGATTTAATTGGCTCTTGAAGGTTCCTTAAAGTTCGTCTATCCCTCGCTCCGCGTGCGTGCTTCTTCAAGATTTACAAGCAGTTACCGTTCCTAAAGAAGCAAAATGTACGTTATGAGGTGAGAACAGGAAACACTACTTCAGACTTATACTATACGTTTGTAAACAATCGCCGATTGCTTTTTACTTACCATTTTATTTCAAAGTTTAAACATATTTAAAAAATAATAACATTTATTACTTATGTATTATTAAACGTTTTTGCGTAATGTGACATAATTTAACGAATACTAGATATTATTTAGTGAATAAATGGATTAAGTATTATATAATAAAAAACATAACTATCGTGCCCAAGTATTTTTAATTCGATTTAAGATTCGATTAAGATGAAACACATGTACTCTGCATATACATACCATATGAATATTAATTTATATAAAGAACGGAAAGTAACAAACAATCTAACTTGCGATGCAAATGAGAAATGTTAGTGGCGAGTAATGAAAGCAATGAATAAATCTCAATTGAAATAACGAACTAAAGAGAAATCTAATTCCAATAACCTTCCTGCCTGTGCCAAACAAACAGAGACGAGCGAAAATATGTTTTTAGGTACAGAAGGTGAGATCGCGTGCTATATACATATACACATATTAAGAACCTCTAGTTTCCCAACATTTAGTCGTTGTCTGTTCATAGGTACGTGCTCTTACATACAGCTGCGCACAGCCGATTAAATTTCGCATATAGAAAACTTAATTTGCGGACTATTTTGTAAGTATTCTTAATTGTTATCATATGTTTACGAAACTTTATTACTTTTCTCTCTGTTCTTTTCGTTTTCTTTATCTCAAATGACACGTTAAAATGGTTGGGACACTCTTTTAGGATAGTCCTTCAAATAAATCCGGTATCCATTTGGAAAATTGTCTTTTCTAGGACAAATAGAGAGAGAGAGAGAGAGCAAAATTTTCTCTTATCAGATGTCAGATAATGCATTAGTAGAACCACTAAACGAGAACTGAGTCATTTTGACACCGGTCATATCTTTGAGTGCTTATAGTCGAAGATAAAATATATACTGTAATTTAACGATTTTCCTCTTACGATATTGTATATACTATCATAAAATTTTTATTTTTATACAGGTTGATATCATTTTTATTATTTTTTTTTCTTTCCATAGAGGCTATAATATCCAAAGCGCATTCTAAAGAAGCATCTTGAAGTAAATCAAGATTATCTTTAAAGAAGCTGGACAAGAAACGTGCAAACACGGTAGAAATTTATTCTAAATATTGTCACAATTGAACAGAAATAATTATTGTTGAGAGACAATTATTCTAATACATTGGGAAATTTTGCAAATTTTACTGAATGAAGACCAGGATTGGGAAATTACAGTCACAGTTTTTTCGCTAACAATGTAACTAGTTACAGTTACAAGTTACCAATTCTGAAAAGTAACGCGTTACAATTACAGTTACTCGAAAAGTAACGAATCGTTACTTTGTTGTTACTCCCTTGTAATAAAAATAAAAATATCGAATCTGCATTTGAATTGTAAAGCGGCAATAAAGGCGTTTATCCGCAAATGCAAGGCCTAATGCGATCTGTGGAGGTTGAAAATATATATATAAAGTAACTATTAATGTAAGTATTAAATTAGTTATCGAAAAAATGTAACTGAGTTAAGTTACAGTTACAGATGTAGAGAAAGTAATCAAGTTAAGTTAGAGTTACCAAAAAGAAGTAACTGTAACTTCCCAATCCTGATGAAGACGATATCTCAATTGTCGATAAACAGATTCTCTTTGTCATTATCTTACACGGAAATAGAGAAATTAAAGAAAATATTTTCGAATGTTAATAATTTACAGAAAGAAAATGAACCGATCCAAAAAATCTACAAAAATTTTCTCAAGGGTAGAAGAATTGGACTTACTGAAAAACATAAAAGAAATTAGACAATCACATTGCCAGTGTGTAACTTGTGTGATGGACCATCTGAAAGACTTTGTTTATGAAGAGGCCCGTAGAATGAACAAGCCATATCCTAAATCGTGGAATAAAAATCGACAGGCAACATTAGAGTGGTTGAAAAGTTTCGAAGAAAGACACGACAGTGAAATGCGCATTCGTTTCTGGTCTACTTGCGAAGCTGAAACCATTGAGAAGTTAACGAGCAAACAAGATTCCTCGTATAAAGAAATTTTTACATTTGAGGAAGAATCTGAAATATTGAAATGTGTTATAGAATTTAGTAAAGAGAATCTCTCTAGCAAAAATGTCCTGATGAAAGAAATAGCAATTGAAGCTTATAAAACAGCTTGTGAATTTAAAAAATCCTATCCAGTAACGTGGAATATGTCTAAACAGGCGGGATGTGATTGGCTGAAAGGTTTTGAAGAAAGACACAAAGATGAAATTTTAAAAACATTGTCTAGTTTCAAACCAAAATCTCCGGAGCCAATGTCAAGCTCAGGATCTTCCGCATATATTGAGCTTTTTACACTTTCGGAAGAAGAAAAGTTACTGACTAACGTACGATTACAGAAAAGGAGTTGCCATTGCAGAGGGTGTATAATGAAAGAAATATCAGCTGAAGCTTATAAAATCCTCCCTGATGAGGAGATGAATTTCTATCCAAAGTTGTGGAATACAAATAAACAGATGGGACATGATTGGATGAAAGGTTTTGAAGAAAGACACGCAGATAAAATGTCACAATTATCGCCTACTTGCACGGTAGAATCTCAAGAGCCAAAATCACCTGAATACCCTTTTACAGATGAAGAAGCGAAAATGTTACTGAAACACGTACAAGCAATAAAAGAAGGCTGCAAATGCATACATTGCATAATGGAAGCAATAGCAGTTGAAGCTTATAAAATGGTCGTTTTTAAGGGGAAGAAGTATCCAGGTTCGTGGGATATAGATAAACAGGCGGGACTTGATTGGGTGAAAGGTTTTGCAGCAAGACACGAAAGTAAAATATTACAATTAGCGCCTTCCTGCGAAGCAGCATTTCCAGAGTTAATGCCAAGCCCACGATCTTCCTTATATAGTACAGTTTTCACATTTTCGGATGAAGAAATATTACTGGTATCCGTACTATCAAAGAAAAAGGGTTGCCAATGCAGAGAGTGTATACTGAAAGAAATACCAGCTGAGGCTTATAAAAGAGCCTATAATTGCAATAAGAAGTATCCAGAGTCGTGGGATATAGATAAACAGGCGGGACTTGACTGGCTGAGTGGTTTTACAGCAAGACACGAAAATCAAATATTACAATTATCGCCTAAATGCCGAAATGTTAAGGTTTTTACATATTCGCAAGAAGAAATGTTACTGGCATCCGTAAAAGCCAAGAAAAAGGATTGCCGATGCAGAGGGTGTATAATGAAAGAAATACCAGCTCGAGCTTATAAAAGAGCCTATAAGCTCAATGTGTATTATCCAGAGTCGTGGAATACATTTAGACAGGCGGGAAGTCGTTGGCTGAAAGCTTTCGCGAAAAGACACACGCGTCAAATTTTAGCTATATCGCCTTTTTGCAAAGCAAATTGTTTTGACGTCAGCACGATACAACAATCCTCAGCTAAAGTCATTTTTACATTGAAAGAGGAATTCGGGCTGTTAGAGATGACACAAGTAATGGCATTGACGGGACAGTGCGATTGTAGATCGTGTGCAATGCAAATATTAGAAGCTGTGATTTATCAGGAGACAGTGCGAGAGAACAAACCATATCCTAAATCATGGGATATTCGCCAGGCTCCAGATCATAAATGGCTGAATCAATTCGTAAAGAGACACTGTAGTGCAATTGCAGCATTCTCAGACGTTTGCAGAATACCAACAGTTACAAAGAGCGGCGAAGAATAATTCTTGTTTGAAAGAATTTTAATATTTGACAAGGGACGATGGTTATTGACAGGTACAGACGTGGTCAGAAAGGTTGTCCAATGTGTTTTATGATAAATTTCGGAAATACACTCTCTATTGACAGGTACAGACGTGGTCAGAAAGGTTGTCCAATGTGTTTTATGATAAATTTCGGAAATACACTCTCTAAAGATTAATTAGTGAATAAATCAATTGAAAACAGTGAACAGTCACAACTGAAAGTCGTAGTAGTATACTTATAACTGTAAATCAGTGACTATTCATTGACTTCAGTGATAATCCTCTGATTGACTTTCAGAAAGCAGTCTTTCATGGGAAATATAACTTTTGCCTTCAGATATGTACAGGGACGCATTACTAGAACAAAAAGATGATATGTACGAATACCTACAAGTATGTAATGATACGAATATTCCGAAAACTTCTTGTGAAACACCTGACAACCTTTCTGACCATGACCGTACAAACGATGAAAATCAAATTAGTGTGCGATTGCAAAAAAATTCTTAATAATAAACAGTTACTATTCTAGTTTGTAAGTTAGACCGTAATAGAAGAAGACTTGTCGCATAGTCATAATAATAATAACTATCAACCAATAGCAGTATCGTAACTAACAAAAATTTAATCAATTTCAGTTAGCAATATCTAACTGATAACATTCTGTATAATCTTTAGAAGTAAGTAGCATGTAAGTTTAATCGTTCGATCCATTTTTTATTAAGATAATTATCATAAAGTCTCTACGTGATAAGATTATTAGTTGCTCATCACTTAATGTATCCGACTTTTTCTCTACATTTTCAACTTGATTGTAAAAGCTCGTGGGATTAATCTTTAGGTACTTATCAAAGTATAAAGCTTGTAAAGGTGTCATTTTTAGATACTTTACCAACGTATAAAAGTTGTATTGTTGTACATTTTTATTTAAAATAATTATTTAGGGACATTTCGTAATCGGTTTGGAAGATTACATCCAGCTCGTTTTAATGATCAAACGCTCCAAATGATGTTTTTTTCTATGTCAACGATATTATTATATTAATTTTTATTCAATAATTGACGTTTAAAAATCACTGTCTAATAATATCAATCAACTGGCGTTATTGTTGTCAACATATTTAAACATTTTCATAATTGTACAGGTGCAAAGTTTGTTTTACATCATAATTATCTTTTAAAGAAATTTTCAATAGATTGTTTTTAAGGTATTAAGAAAAGTATCGTTGTTATATATGTTTTACTGATCCGAGTTTAGAATTAAAAATTCAGAACGAGCAAAATTTTATTTGAGCAACGGATAATGAAGAAAGACGTAATTAATGATTAATGAAGATATTTTTCGTCAATCAACAATGATTATTAAATTATTAATAATCAAATGATATTTTGATTGTCCATTATACGAACATTTATATGTAATAAATCTTTTTGTTGTGTACAAAATCATATTGTTAACATTTTCTCCAGATATAAGTAATTGTCATACAACATAATTTTTATTCAACACGGCTCCGCACTAACGCGGTTAAATAAACGTTGCTCATCATATTCGTCCTTTTCAAATTTGCTGATAACGAGTAAAGTACTCTCATTCATTATTGTGCTACACACGGACATCTTACGGAAATCAATCTTTGACATACACGGTAACCGAGATCGACGTTATAATCTCGCGCAAAAATGATGCGTCGCTTTTATTAGTAATCGGTTTAAGGGATTTCCCTTTAAAGAGGATCCTAAAGGGGGAATCCTTTTTTCCTCTTCTCTTCTTCAAGAGTGAAGGAAGCTGTGAAAAGGATAACGCAACATACGCGGGATCCCCATATTTCTGCTCTTCCTGGTCTGCGTGAACGCGCGAGAGGAAAGAGAGGCTGCACACACAGATCCTCTCGTAATTCATTGGCTATTGGACGAGACAGGTGTGTGGCGCGCGCGTGAGAGGGTGGCGAACGAAAGAGGGTGGTTAGGCCGACGGGGAAATGAAAGGGAAAAGGCGAAAGGTTTCTTACGCCGCTGCCTCGCAAAAAGGGGAGCGCGGCTGCCACCCTTCGCGCGGGACCGAGTTGGGGCGTCGCGACGCCGAGTTTTTTTAATTAGCAGTCTGTGATCCGTCGAGCGATTTTCTTTTCGCTCTCTTTCTCTTTTTTTCATCTCGTTCCCGCCCTGTCCCCGCCGTCGCAAGCTTCCTCGCACGCGGCGATTCCGCTCTTTTCGCGCGAGCGACGCGACGATGCTCGCAAGCACGTGTACTGACTCGTTCCGTCACGTTCCTCCGTTCGTTTCATTTCCTTCGAATATCACCCTTTCCCACCGGAGCCTCACTTCAGACAGACCCGATTCTGTCGCCTCCCCCTCACCTCGCAAGATCTTCCTGACAAGATTCAGGAGGCGGAGAGGCGAGCTCCCTCGGGAGGACACTCGCGCATCGTCTCTGAGTAATTTACTAAGAAAGTCTCTCGGCTGAAACGGCGAATGATCAAAGCGGTGAAATGAGTAACTTTGCGATCGAGGATGAGGGATGGTTCGTAACTTGCAGCTTCGCCCGACCTCTACCTGATTTGATAGTTGCGAACATCACGGTTCGCGTTCCCATTAATGATACACTCTTATTGTGATTATTTCTTCGATCTACGATATTTGAATCCCGCAAATATACAATATCTATTACAGTATTCGCTTCGTGTACTCTGCTTTCACTCCTAAAGTATGAAATAAATATATATCGAAAGTGTATTTAAACGAGCGATCGAATTTCAATTCCACGAAAACATGAACTTTAATCGTCCTGGTGCCAAGTGCTTTCTAGTTTCCGCAAAGAGCGCTCCTTGCGACAATCCTTCAAGTTTCAACTTTTATTAAGACCTGTCGCTTTTAATCGAAATCGCGACAAGCTTTTCAGTGCACGGAAGAAAGAGATTTTGGATGATTTGCGCGATTTTATCCCGCTGGCCACGCGACGTGCGTAAAATGGCCGGGAAGCCGAGCCAGATCGACGCACGCACGACGTCGAGACCGACATAAACGGGGCGGCTATCTGCCGTCCCATCTTTTATTTAGTCATTACGCTCATCTTTCTCTCTTGCTTTGGGAGGCGGACTGTCGACCGAGCGAGCAGCAGCAGCACCACTTTGCTCGGGGAAGACAAAGAGAGGACCAAAAAAAAAAGAGGAGGCCGAAAGAAGGAGAGAGGAAAAGAGAGTTCTGTATGTGGACACACAAGGCCACTCGCCAGCGGCTGCTTTAGCAAAAGCTACCCGGCTTCGTCTCACAGACCCGCATTCACTCTGTGCATTTATAGCGACACTCGAGCCCGTGGTCGATGCCATCAGGCGACATAATCCACCGCTACGCTTCGCTTTACCGTGCTCGACGAAATTAACCGCAAGAAATTATACAATTCTTTCATTTTACGAAGACGCACGGGCTCGGACAAGCCCGGTGGTACCCCGACCACGTCTCGTAATCCGTCGGAATGGCGTTTCGCTGAATCCTAGAGACTTAACTGTAGAGAAACCGCGTAATCCTCTTCTTTTCAGTTTACTGACGCAGCAGCGATAATCACGCAGCGATTAACCGTTAACTCCGTTGCGTTTATCGTATGGTGTAATTGAAGAATTAAATATCAATTAATCTTGTTGATTAAAATTCGTACCATCGGATAAAACAAGGAATATACCGAGTGCAAATAGTAACCAAGGGGAATTTTTTATAAAATCGACCAAACGTCTGCGCATCTCGAATAAACCCAGTTTTACGTACGGTTGCTACTTGGAAATTTTAGAAATTGACATCACAATTATAAATCCACTGATTACCGAGACATATATGATATTATGAATTTGCTACCACGGGCTCATGAACCCGTTCTATTTCGGCATAACCGATAAAGGGGTCGAAACGTCGTGACTAAAATAAACATCAATTTTGCCAGTTTGGTCGATTAAGAAAAAAATTCCCCTTGGTTGATTACCACTGGCGACAAAAAGCTACTCAAATTGTTGCAAATAGTAACTTCGTGCAATCGTATAATACATTTTTCGTGTTTCCTTTCCTGTCGTGTGTGATTAATACTGATGTGTCGTACAAAGTGCCACGAAGTTTATGATATGAGATTGATTAGGAGGAATTAAATGTGAATGATTCCTCTTTTTACATTTGGTAGAAAATTCGGCAATACCGAAGGAGATTATTATAGATCGGACGGTAATATCAAAAGTCTTTCTGATTTCGTTTCTTTTCAGTTGAGATCTCTTATCTCATACTTATGATCATTTCAACTGGCAAAAAGTGAAATTGTTGAGTAAAGAAGGCTGCTCTGTAGTTGCAAGGATTTAGTTTCCCTTTCATTCTCACAGCCAGAATTGATCCTCGCGAAAGCTTTATCAGGGAATTTCATACAGGTGCGGAAGATGGAATTGCAAGGGTAAACCCTAATGGATTCGAGTTCAACACGTACAACTAATTCCTTGGTGCGTTCATGTAAAGCATCAATGTAAATTGCGCCGTCTCAACCGCCCCTATTCCAGTACTGGAAATTGCACCCCCTGGGAGGGCCTCCGGAGGAGCCGCGCCAGTGTACGCACGTGCATGTTCTCTCTCAATGGTCGTCGAGTCGGGGGAAATAAATTAACGAGGTGTTTGTCCGCCATCGGACGCCCGCTGCTTCTTTTTTCCCTTCTCTCTGGCGCGCTCCTGGGATTAAAATCATCGTGGCTTTACTAATTACCGCTGGACGAATGTGTTAAATGAGGCGCGCGTCGCGACGCGACGCGACGCGCCGGGCCGGGCCGGGCTGGAGCTTTTTGCCGGGTATTATTTACAGCCCGAGTCCACAATGAGCATGGCTGGGACACGGCGCGAAACCAGTTTACTCGTTCCTCGCCGACATTGTGCCGCGTCGAGAATAGATAAATGCGAAATTTTCAAACGAAACGGAATACGGGAAAAACGTGAAAAGCCGCCGGTTCTATACCGGCGTGGTGGTGCATTCATCCGCGGCGCGGTGATAAAAAAAACTGTCGTCTCTGCGACAAAATAGTAATGAAAGATGGATATATGTGTAAACGTAACAGAATTAAACGCGGGGAAAAATAAGAGCGAATTAAATTTGAACAATTCGTTTCTCAAAGTTCCACTTTTTTACTGATAACAAAATTATGCGTGCACGAGAGCGTTCCTGTGTCGAGTAATTCGATGGTTCTGAAAAGAGCGGTAAACGAATCGTTGAACTGACAAGAATTGTTTATTTGAATTAAATTTGATCCTTGATTGTTCTCAATTTGTTAGTAGCCGGCTCACTAGCCCTCTCGTGAAATTATTCGCTGTGATCTTGAGTATCTGTGGAGCTGCATAAAACGAAGAATCTGAAATATACTTCTGAAATATATTTCTAGTCTCGCAGATTTTGAATTCACAGATACGATCAATTAGAAAAGAATAAAAGTATTTCAATACAAATGTAATAAATAGTCTGTTATTTTGAGAAACACTAGCTATGACACAGAACGCTCTCTCGATAGGGTCACTCAATTTTTCAGCTCGCAGTCACGATTAATAGGTCCTTTTCAGAATTTCCATTTATCAAGCGCTGCATACACGAAGCACCATCGGCCGGAGAAACGACCGCGATATCGTTGATACCATCTTTTGTGCGAGGCAAGAGCCGGAGGAGAGACAGAGATCCTCGCGTGCAAAAAGGGGCGCGAGCAGAGAGGACCCGTTCCGCCATCCCTCTCTCCTATCGCTTCGGGAGGGGGCGAGAAAGGCGACTGAAAAGTGGTTCGCCGCCGTCGGGAAAGCCGTTAACCCCCGACAACCTCCAAGTCATCCATCCCGTTATTGTATTTAGTTGCTCGCCGACGATGGGATACGAGATGGAACGGGACGGGCTACGACGGCGGGCGACTCGACGTCTCTAATGCACATCCTGGAATATGATATCCGGGGCCGCTTTCACCGTACGCTGTATTGGTCTACAGTTACAAAGTATGTAGACGTCGCTACTACCCTTCCGAACCATTTTCCACCCCTGGTTTCACCCCCCATCCTTTCGTTTCTTGTCAAATTTCCTTCCTTTCTCTCCTCTCTCGCCACTGTACTTTCGCCACCCCCATTGTTACGAGTGCTACAAAGGTTGTCGCGTTATTTCTTTTCATTTTATTTTTTCGTAGAATCTCAATCCTTGTTTTCAACAAGTTACAATTTTACGCACCCCGGAGGGTACGAATAAAAATTGTACTACATGAATTATTTGTTTCTCAAATGAGAATAACAGAGTTGAATCGATTGCTTTTCATTTAACAACCCTTTTCTTCAACATATATACAAAATAATTATAGGAACTAATAATATTGCACAACTTGTATAAATTAAAACGTACGACCTAACGATAATTGCACTATGAAACTATTCTTTAACAGTCAGCATTTTTTAAATTATATATATATTATTTAATTCAATAAAGTCTCATACGCCGATCACAATAAAACTTTAACTAAAATCACGCGCATATGGGCGCACACTCGTACATTCGCACACGTACTTTCCAAAAAGGCAAGATAATCCCATTTGTCGTATAATACATCAACATATACTTTAAAACATAGCAAATTAACGCCTGACTACTGCATCTCATCATAAACGCCTACAAGCGCGTGATAGTGTGATTAATTGTGATCGCGTAATGAGCTTGCAGCACCTGTCTCCTTCTATAGCTTTACAAATTCATTGCGCTTTCAAACAGCTCCAGCATTCTCTTCATCTCTTTGCTGAAAATCAAGATAGAGATAAGACTGTGCATATAAAGGACGGCCTAATTTATGTTTGAAATACTTGGATATTTGTGACAATTTATCGTGACGAAATTAGTTAATAATTAATGTACTCTTCTTTTCTTAATTGCTGCCCGAACGATCGCACATTATGACAAATTTTACGGAGAGTATTCCGAGGATAAGATTTCTCGTCAAGTTCACAACGTTCATCTTGGTAATAAAGAAGGAGTGAAAGGAAAAGCACGGGAAGAAAGTTTTTCTTCTCTCTCTCTCCGTTCATTTTTCTTTTGACTGAGATAACAACCCTTAAGGAAAGCCTCGAGTTTAGAACTCGCTACAGTCGCCTCCAGATACCCTAAGGATTAATAATTGATCCAGCATATAGCAAAGAAAGTTTTAATAAACACGCGCGCTCTTCTTCCGCAAGGAGCTTCCCTCTCGTCTTTTCTCTCTCACTTTCACCCTTCATCTGTCCGTCGGGATGCCGTTAGTACTTGATTAAAACGAAATCTCTCTTCTTAGATTAAGACCGTAATTTACAGTTAGGCGTTCTTGATTGACTTTGTAAATAAGGATCGTGCCGCCTCAGTAAGAAATTTCACAAGAATGCTAATGACACTTTATGACCAAAGTTTCGGAATGTCTTGTAATTATTAGTAATTTCTCACGTACCTGGATCGAGTTAGGGAAAATATTTGCCGGCCATTAATACTCACATCTGCTCCGCTAACTTATAAATTGGTCCCATGGACTTGGATAGCTCCTCGCATTTAGCCATCAGTTGATACATCGACTTTATATTATGATCCACAGCGTCGCATGTCTTGCACACTGCATCTCTGTACGTTTCTAAACAACCAACAGTGAGGGCCGACGCCTGGAAACAAGAAGGAAGAACTTGAATGTATAAAATTGCACGGCGTAAAAATGAGTGACGATGGCTCGGTGACTCACGTTTTGCAAAATTGCGGCCAGATTTTCAGTGAGCGCGTCCACGGAGGTTGCCACCTTTCTTGCCTCCATCTCTAATTCGTTCAATACATTGTGATCGAGGGGTGGTAGTTGCGGAGTCAAGGCCTGCCTGTACAAGCACGGGGTCGAGCTGCGAGATCCCGGGAACGACGGAGTGTCGCCCTTCTTGGTCACAGGACTGGACAATTTGATCTTGTTCTCCAGGTCCTCCGTCACAAACAGCACCATATCCCCGTCCTGCATTACCCTTCCCTCCAGCTGCAGGTAACCCATAGCTTTATGGTAGCTCGGCGGGTCGAGATCGTCGCCTTCCGCCGGACTGCAGCCCCTACTTCTCAGATCCAGCTGATCCGGTCTGTGGCCGGCACCTCCTACCCTCTCTAAATTGTCATCCAGATACTTTCCGCTGTCAAAGTCCGGCGAGTCAATGAGCGATCTCAGTTCCGAGATGGGTGGCGAGGATTGCGAATCGAACGATATTTCGGAATAAGACGCCGTCATCTCGTGCAACTGAAACGACAAAACCATCAATGACAAGATTTCAATATGGAACGTGTCATTTCCAACTAAAACTATCATATCCTGCCAAAGTAATTTGAGGAACAATGGCAAACATTTTTCAATTCTCTTTCGAGTAAACGAGTGTCTGAAGCGAACGAGAGTAGCTCGTTGTTGGAAGAATACACCCCGACAATTATCAGGCGAGCGACACGCAGGTTCGCAAACGTCCCCCGGGCAATTAATTCTAACCTTACTCTGTCTTCGTCGTAGTCGATGACGGCGTTCTTGTCGTTTCGCACACTCGCCCCCGATTTCGAGGCCGCCTCGACCTCGTCCGGCTCCATCCTCGCCGGCGAACTCTTCGGAGATAACGAGCCCCACACACAGCCGTCGAGTGGTGAAAGCGAGAGCGAAGCGCGTAAAACGCAGGGGCGGATCCGCATGGAGAGCGGAGAGAGATTCACCTGTCGCGCGCGCGCAAGCCTTGTTCTTCTGCCACGTGATTTTCAGCCAGCCAATCGGGTCTACACGCTTCAGTGGCGCATCTCTGATTCATCTACTCGAAATACTCCAATGTTGACAAGTGAGATAACGGTGGGTCGGCACGCATCATCATCTGGCACTTGCAACCCTTCCACCACTGACAATTCCACCGTATACGTTCGTGCAGGTCGTCGAGTCGGTCGAGTGCGAGCGATGAATACTCGCCGCGCGAGGAAGCGCAGCAGCTGATTGAGTGCGCGCGATCGGTCAGTCGACGCGACCTAACCTCAAAGCGACATGGTGATCTCGCACGTACTCGTACTGCTTGCCGGCCTCTGGGCTACCGGGGCGGGTAATGACGCGTACAACGACTTCTTCGACGAGGAATTAATGCTGAAGCCTATGCCGAGTAATCATGTCTACGCCTACTTCCAATTTACCACGATATGGGAGACGGCGAACCATGTAGCAACACGTTGGTATTTGATACTTGAATTTATCAAAAGATCCTGCATGCTTCTATAGAAATTTCGCTACTTTTCACTGGACAATCTTGATTCGCAATTAAAAAGAATGCAAATAATTGTAGTTCAGCATTCGCATCTCTTCCCGAGGGGATTGGGTGAGATAATAGGCCGGCATAGTGTCGACGAGCTGCACGTCACCCTGACGGAAGGCTTGTGGAATTATCAAAAGTGGGGATATCCTTTCCACGACGCTGGACCCGGTGCTGAGGTCACTGCCTGGTTTAACAGGGATATAACAAAGTGAGAAATAGTTGTGAGGCTTTTTGTACTAGCGATATCAAGTACGAAAAATTATATTACGAAGCGATTGAAGACGAGTTCGGTAATCATGGCCTGAATTTAATTCAGATGTATCGACTGCAGAAAAACGCAGGGTGAAAAGAAATTTGATTTCTCTTGTCATAGTATGTAGCGTGTGAGCTTTCCTTTCTAGCATAGACGAGGAATGGAGAGGTCTGACGAACGCCTTAGCTGGCTTATTCTGTGCGTCCCTGAATTTCGTTGACGCCTCCAATAGTATGTCGCCGGAGTTCACCTTCCGTCCCACTGGCGTTACAGATGGGCCAGTGAATTCTAGTCAGTTGCGTTACTCGTCATTGCCAAGGGAGATAGTTTGTACCGAGAATCTAACGCCATTTAAGAAGCTGTTGCCTTGCGACTCCAAGGTACTTGCTGCAAGCCGTGCTGCCACATCATAAATGGATTTCTGAAATACTTGATTTTTCTTTCAGAGAGGTCTGGCTACGTTGTTAAATTCCGCGCACATTCACAATACCAATTATCACTCGATTGGAATACATTTTCGGTCGATATGTCGCGATGCAACGTGCACAAGGACATCTTTAGAACTGCGACAGACTGTCTCTCTGATATACGATACAATGACGGATGCGAATCAGGCAAGTCGACCAATGTCAAGTCGTTATTACAAATTGTGCTGCCAATTACTATATTATTACAACTCCGATTTGTATAGGACTGGTCGATACGAAAATTTTTTGGTATGGGTCTTAAAGGCGCATGTCCACTTGCAACGTTAAGCAATATTTATGTGGAGATATCGGGCAACAGTACGGATCACGTATACGAATTGACGCCACCACCGAGTGCGAAAGTTGTTAGCTTGCGTGGTGGACAACAAAATGAAATTGCGGTCTATGACATCAGGGCTCATAGCAGTAAAGGAATGTTCAATATTGCTGCGGTGCATAGTGCGCCAAAGAATAACGCAATAAATTATCCTTCGATCCTCTACGCTAATAGATATATCATCGGTATGTTCTATATAAAATCACAGTGTATACTTTGAAGAATTATAGTTTGAAAAGGTTGAATTTATTAATCAATATTATATCCACATATAGATTGATAATAAATTCGTATGTATTAACGTAATTCTTCAGGTTATGGCCAAGAAAGAGGCAGTTTAGTGACTAAACTGTATAACAATCACTGGCAGGCGATAGATGTAATCTTATTGGAAAATATTCCGTGGTACTTGCTAGTTTACTTACATTCCATTACGATAACCTGCAATGAGCAACAAGTTCGTCCACGTAAGTAAATAAAATAATAAATGTAAAATAATATAAATGTAGTTGCTAAATAAATTTATTCACTGTGAAACACGTGTACGATTTAGAGGCAATCGTTAAAAGTTACAAAAGAAGTTTTATTATTATGAAAACTACAACATAGTTAAAGTGTCAGTACATTTTACGGTATCGTTACAGTGGCGCAACGTTATTTACCTGGAAGGGAGAGGAAAAGTCCGTACTATTTAGAATTAATCCTGCGCCTGCCGCCGCACTCGGTAACGAAAATCACCATCGATATGGATTACTTATTCCTCAAATGGCAGGAATATCCGCCGGACGCTAATCACGGTTTTTACATGGGACCAGCTATAGTTACAGCCTTATTACCCATAGCTAGAAATTACACTGCTCTGCCGCTCGATGGAAGTACAATTACTTCAAGGTTCGTTTATTTGGTTTAGCAATTGTCTCTCTTCTGCCAGTCGACGAGGCAAACGAAAATCCTTTTTCTTCCGCTGTCATCATAAGCAGAATGGGCGACGATTGAAGTAATTATCGACGACTAAACTTACAGTTTTAACGCTTCGAGGGATGATTATCTAGTACAATTACGGACCGAGTCCTTGCTTATCAGTCTTCCGACTCCTGACTTCAGTATGCCTTACAACGTTATATGTCTTGCCTGTACAGCTGTCGCGTTAGCATTCGGCCCACTTCACAACATTTCCACGAAACGACTGGTTTTAAAACGCATCGAAAAGGACTGGAAAGGTAAAGTGTTCTCCTTTTTCTTAGGAAAGATATTCGGAGCAAAGAAAAAACAAGAATAAAGACTGTAAACAAATGCATGTATTCTAAAACGCATCTCTGAATTGTATCTCTCTTGCGAATAAATATATTCACGTATTTCCCATGCACAATTTTAATAAACAGGCAGAAATTTCTTTTCCGTCAATATGCAATTATCGCAGATTATAGAGAGACAAAAATCCCTCTGAACTTCTTTTTTAGCAGAAAATATACACTTGTACATGTAACAAAACAAGATCAGTTTTTAATTTTTAACTAATGATATCGTAAAACCTTTAATATTTGCCATAAGTATTAAATAGTGTATTCACACATCCTGCTTCGTATTATATGTATACGTATATATTTCTAAATTTTAAATTTAAATTTGTTTACATACATGAATAAAAACTTACATATTAATATTATGATAGATTTTCACAAGGTAACAACTTGCGTTTCTTGGCTATTGTGTACGTGATAGACTAGAGTGTTCCCTATTAAGTTTAAAAGAACGTAACACACAATCACGATAAAACAGTCCAACAAGTATTAAAGAAATTTTGTAATAAGATAGCAGTTGACTATTCATCTCCTACTTCCACATATATGGAAATCTGACATGTTCAATGCTTGGCTCATTAAATTACTGCTATGACTAGCGGTAACACAAATAATCATTATTACAAAATCAATTTTAATTGTTTTAAAACAATTCTATCATTAATAGAGTTAAATCAGGACCAATTTTCAATCAATCAATAGAAACGTATAGCCAGTATAGTCCAAGCGAGATGTAGGTAGCCCAATGGTTTTATACAACATGTGAATCCTATCACGCGTCATTCCGGTATACTGTTTTACCTCTTTCTCCTACTTTCCTTTTATTTTACACATTAATTTGAGAATGCACACTAAGGCTTGTTTACAGTTAATTCCTATATTTACTTAAATATATGTTCAAAAACAATTCAGCCAAAAAAATGACTCTTATGGATGCTGTACTGATCATTTTTCTGGATAAGGAATATTTGAAGTGTTCAAAATCCTTAAATATAAGAATCGATTATAAACAAGCTTTAGTGTGTTAATTCTTATTCTCATCAATCTCTTTTAAATGTAATGGGAAACACTCCAAAATCTATTGCAACTGAACGTGATCTGACTAAATTGATCCATTCTATTCGCAATTTAATCTTCAATTTTGTAAACAATGTCGCGAAATTATAACAGTCTTACGATAACCTAGAGTAAATTCAACTATTGTATCAATAATTTTAGGATAATAAATATAAGAAACGTAACATGTACAAGTTGTAAGTATCATCACGTATATAATAACTTACTGTACATTGATTTAATATTTATGTGCTAAAATCGAAGAAAGGCATACGCATTTTCTCTTTTTTTTTCGAATATCAACAATCGATATTTATTTGCATCATCTTCGTTCAATACGTTATTCAATAACCAGTCTGTCAATGAGTGTGCGGGGTAAATGCAGGGTCTCGCGCAAAGTTTTTTTCGGTGATAGTTTTCGCAAGAAGGACTTTGCGATTGAAGACTCCGCAGTATTCATAGGATCTCTGTTCTCATCGCGCGTACTCGAATCGTTTTCTTCCTCGTCAGACGAACAAAGATCGATCAACATTATCGCGCGCGATGGATACTTTTTCTCTTTGGCTGGTTTCGTAGCTTCTGCTTTACCCGGAACTGATTTAACAGCAGCGAACGCGGTTAAAGTTCCTTCAGTTGATGTACTAATGTTGGCTTCTTCTTCTTCACTGATCGAATCTACGTCAACCTCCAGCGGCGCTTTCCGTTTCGAAGATACAGACGCGCTTCGCGCGTGAGATGTCCTTCGCGATTTCGTTTTGCAAGCCGGTCCTGCCTTTCTCATTAATACAACTTTCCGCACATTGACGCTCTTCTCAGGACATTTACATTTTGAAGGGTCCTTTTTCAATTCATCAATTTGCTTCTCACTCAGTTGGGTAAGACCGACGTAAATAGGTCGACATGTGGCATAGAGTATTTGCGATTGTATGCTTAGCACTGAAAAGGAAAAAAAGAGATATTAGGTAATCTTTCTAAAATGTCCAATGTTACACTGCACTGCTAAAAAAATTACTGGAAAAGTATAGTCGAGCTTTCTTTATTATATGCGTCCTATTAGCGCGATGTAAAAAGGAGTACTATAAAGAGTAGGGGAAACAGAATAAAAAGCATATTTTTAAAATCTCTATTTCAATCGAATCTTTTCCTTTTATTTTTTAGCGACGTGTCTGTGTCTAGCAAAAATGATATCAAAGTGTACAATAAAATACGTACTTGGCTTGTTTTTCGAGGAATTCATAAATTTGTATTGATGCACATAGTGGTCTGTCGGTTTATCCCGGTTTTGTTTGTATGTCACTATCCATCTATCGTTATCGACTTCTGTATCCAGCCATTTTGGTCTACCCGAGTCCCTCAGTACTGGCGCGATGACGTGCCTCTCTATTCTATCTAATCGTTCTTGCTGCGTTTCCTCAGTCATCGCCTTTGATTTCTTTGTCAACATTATTCCGGCAGGCGAGGAGAATGGGATAGTAGCGAATCTTGTGAAGTTGAGAGAACTTCTAACACGTCCAGACGTTCGTCTAACGATACTACCATCAGGAGCACTCGCGTTTTTCACATCGGACGATTTAGATTCAGTCTTGCCCGATTGTAACTGGAAGTACTCCAGAAATTGATCCTGTTGTAGCTCGGGTTCGACTATAGACGAGTCTGGTGTAGAAGAGCGCGAGCCACTGTGTTCTTGTTCGCAGCATATCTTTTCATGCTCCTAGACGATTAGGAAAATAACAAGTACTTACACGGCATACTTTTTAGTTTTTCTAGAGAACAGATGATAGATAATATTAATACCTTCATATTTGCGAGGCCTACAAATTCGGCGTCGCAATTGTCACAAAGATAGATGTCGTCGCATGGTGGTTGAACCATCATGGGGGTTTGTCTCGTTTTGTTTCCACTGCCCGACGAAGATGCGTTATGCGATAACAACGTTCTTCGGGGGCTATCATTTTTTCTGTCATAATGCTGTAGGCGCAGAATGCTTTCTCATTTATTAAACTAACGAGTTTTTCACAATGACTCTATTCTATGTTAGTACATCTGTAGATATATAAATAGGAAAGTCTTCTATTACGAGATGGGATTCTAGTGTGAGATAGTAAGATAGTAGGTTTTCAACGTCCAAATTTAACGATAAATCTTGTTTTGCAATTCGATTACACGACTTCACTCCAAGGGCAACAATTTCTGTCGCGTAATAGGAAACTTTCCTCTATACACAGAGTGTTTCATTTTAATCGCCCCCACTATATGTACATATTGTACATACCATATTTTCATTACGAAATGTTACTAGTAGCTTTGCTGAACTTTTGTGATACAGACTAGTCGTCGAGTCCCAATTATTAACGTATTCTAGCTCATCGTGGGGATACTGCGCTAGATAGGAACAAAAACGTAACAGATATTCGCTTCTGTGATACGTGTAACATCGGAAAACCAATTTCTTCAGATTTGCCATCCAGTTCTGAAACGATATTCTCGTATCAACGCTTTTTCCTAATGATAGAGGCGGGTATCTAATGGCTGCTTACATCGTTGAGCTTCTTAGGTCTCGTTAGTGGACTTGAGAATTTAACGTCTTGTGGCCACCACTCGGGCTTATTAATAACCTTAGTGGTGTCGTGACCCAGCGAACAATGGACCATAAACAGTATAAAACGTTCCAGCTGCGCCTGTGAAATAGTTGTTCGTCGATATATTGATCCACAAACAAATGGTGTAACAGTTTTATTTATCCTCCGATATGGCTTCTTGGGTTACAAGATATTTTGCGATTACAAAGTGGTTTTGATATGAGAAAAAGAAACAAGTGACGACAATCAATGTACCATAGTGATTTTCTCCAGAGACGTGGGATAACCGTTAGCGAACAGAAGAGGAAGATTGGATACCATGGAACCCTCCTCTCTCTCTAAGGTACCGTTATCTTCTCCGCACTTAACATTAGTAGCATTGTCCATCATGATCACATCGTTGGAAACTTGATCCCCAGATTCCCTTACCTCATCTCTATCGTTCTCTTGCATAATCGAGAGCTTCATACCTCTCAAGTGATCGACTTTACTTGCCCAGCAAAACACATCCGCCGGACGGTAGGGTGAGGCTCTACGGAAATTTGCACAGGTTAGCGAGACCTTACGTCCCATTCCCGAAAATCGTTTAAGCCAAGTCGTCTCCGGGCAGAATTTCTGAATTTTTTTCGACCAACAAGAACGTCAAGTGCGTCCAAGTGCCGAGTCGTATCAACTCGACTAGAACGTTCCGCGTGTACGATATTCGACTCCCGAGAGCGCCCCTCGCACGATATCATTTTATCACGCGATCCCGCGAGGGGCGTTCTCCGCTTGCTCGAGCCAGGGGAACGACAACAAACTTGGGCGCAAAGATACAAAAACCGGGTACCCATTATGAAAGTATTCTAGATTTCTATTGTGTCTTCTAGGGTGAACGGAATAACTCCGGTCGGAATCCATTTCGAACGTTTCCACGATAGGTACCCAGGAAACGCGGGAACGTGGCCGAAGCAAACCACCACGCGCGTCGGTATACCTTCCTCCTCCTCCTCTTCCTCCTCCACCCGGCGATCCCGCCGTCTCAGAGGTCGTTGACGGCGCGCCGTCCGGGAAGCCGCGACATCCCCGGGCCACACATGTCACCCGTGTTTATCTCGCGTCCCTCCTCAATCCCGCGCCTTATTGCATCGCACCACGGACGCAAAGTTCCACGACGAGGAGACGCGACCCCGCGCGACAGTTGTCACGTATTCGTCACGTCGCGCGCGAACGCGAGGCTCATTGTTCGGACGTGCAGCTTGCCGATTGTCGTTATCCCCGTCCACTCCGGGATCGCTCAAGGTCCCACCCGCGCCGTCGAGCGATCGCCGTCTCGATCGGACGATCGAGAGGAACGCGGAGACGAGAGCCAACCTCCCCGACTCGAGGGGGGGCACACGCTTTCGAACAAATTTGCCGTAGAGTACGCGGGTACCTGCACCTTCGTACCGAGAGTCGATCGCGCGGGATCTACAGCCCCCCCCCCCAGAATGCTCAAACGAGACTCGCGTGCGTAAAACCGCGCGAACGCAGCCGCGACGGGGCGACAACGAGGTTCCGCGGCGGAACTTCCGCCGATTGACAGGAGAAGGGTTCCCTCCTCCGCGCTGCGACGTGCGTAAGTGCAGTTCGACCGCGACCCGAGACACGCTAGACTCAAGATGGCGAGCGGATCCAAACGGGTCACGCCAACGCGCGCGCGCACGCCGCTCACCGCGCCGAGGAAGCTACGTGGTCGCGAGATACTCGCTCGACGTCGAGCTTCGTCATCGATGACCGGGCGCCAGCCGGCGCGGACGATTCCCCGAGCGCCGACGTTCGGGAGCTCCGGGACCGCGATACGTTCCGCGGCGAAGAGAAACGCGCGGGGGGGGGGGGAGGGGAAGAACAAAAGGAGGCGCGATGCCGAAGAGTCTCGTATATTCGCCGGTGCGCCTGCGTCCTGCTTGAAAAATTGCACGAAAGAAAATAAACCCCTCACGCGCACGACACACACACACGCGCGCGCGCGCGATTTTTCTTCTTCGGTCGCTCGAATCTCGGAGCAAGCTGTCTTGTACTTTCAGGACGTTTTGCCTCGAGTCTTTGTTTTAAGGTAACGCACAGCAATGGTCTTGTGTCTCAAGTTACAAGACGTTCTACAGCCATTTTCTGCCCAGGCCCTTGCGCTGCTCAACGAGAGGACGCGCAGGAACGAAGGTCGTCGTTTTCCATAGTTTCTTTACAATCTCGTTCGCTAAGTTACTCTATCGCGTTGCAATTGCGTGAGATTTGCGATTAAACTTGCAAAAAAAGGCTGTTTTTGAGTGCGTTCCGTTTCACGCATGATTGAGATAATGTATCATTTATCCTTGTTACTTACCCGATGTTGAATAAAGATAAATGATGCATTATGCGCATCTTGCGTGAAACAGAATGCACTTTTAGAGTGTTTTAGTGTAATTGCTTCTCTGTTTCGAGCGTACGAGAATGCAATCCAAAGCGCACTCTGCTCTTGTATCTAAAATAATACAGACACTTCTCTGCAATCCTTTTTTTACCTTGTAGAGATAACAAAGGAATGCGGAAAGAGCAACCGTACAAGCAGAGCTAGTCTGTCGAATCTCTATACTCTTACGTTAACTTCCAATTTCTATTGGCTATTTTAATTAACTTAGTCAACTCCCATTGGCTATTCTAAAAAGTTAACGTTCGGTTGGAAGCTAACAAAGGTTGGAAATAGTGGCCCTAAGGACCAGTTTCACAAACATCGATTAAGAATCGAGTAACCTCTGGTTAGCAGTGTTAGCAGTTAACCTACGTTTGTGAAACTTTAGGCCGACTTGAATTAATTTAGGTTAAGAACTTTGGACAGACGATAAGTGGAAAGCATTCGCGAGCGCTTCTGAGCCGACCAAGTGGAAATTGTGCTGCTAACTCGTGACATCGTTAATACTTTCGAAATAAGATGAATTATTCTTGCAATGGAATTTATATTGAAAGTTATATAATGTCGTTTCTAAAAAGTAACATTCGCCCTGCGACCCAACAGAGATCAGTATTTTAAGATTATGGGTTCCCAGTCAGAAATGACTGGAAAACCAACGTCGAAACGATATCGAATCGATGCATTTTTGGTTCCATTTTCGACTTGGCTCGAAAATGGAACCAAAAATGCATCGATTCGATATCGTTTCGACGTCGGTTTTCCGGTCATTTCTGACTGGGATTTGAGAGATTGTGTACATTTCCACGAAGAACAAGAGACTCGAGTAACATTCAAGTATCACGAGAACATCAAGATGATGTCATCTAGAAGACGGCGAAATGATTTCACCAAGAAAGAAAAAGAATTAATGTAATCAAAGTAGATGACAAAAAGGACTTGAAAGTTATCGAAAGTAAAAAGACTACATAATCTCTGGTAAAAACTGAAGGTAAAAAAGGTAAAAAACTGAAGATCACATTCAAGGTTAGGTTACGTTAGGTTTAAGGCTAGGTTATGTTATGTAGTGTTGTGTAGCTAAAATTAGGTAACATCTCGTATCTTATTTCGTTGATCTTGAGTACAATATCTAAATGAAAACTTAATAATAATCCTTTGATAAAAATTTACTAGTTTTCGTCAATTAGATAGTAAAATGTATACATATTAAGACCTACCTGGAACAACAACAGCATGTCAGTAGATGAAATGATGACGCTAAACAAAATGGCATTAGGAGACCGAGCGTCAGCTGAAGACAAAATGGCGACTGAAATGTCTCTTATTTATGAAAATCAGACATATAATTCGAATATTTATCGCAAAAAGGTTCAGATTATTCATAATCATGGGTTGGCCGGTATTTAAAATATCTTTTAATAATGTTCAACTTATTAATAGTTAATTGAATTTAACCTGTATCTATTCTGTAATATTGATTTCTTGGAACCATTTTAAGTAAACTTTAAGAAACAGATAATCTTTAGATAAAATAATAATAAAGTCATTTGTAAAGAATTTAATTTAACAGAATCTTAAAAAAATTTTTATTGTATATTCTATGTTGTAACAATTTTCAATTTAAACTATTTAAAATGAAGCGATTAGTTAGATCATGATGTAAAAAGATAAGGTGTGCTCTCACCGTGAACCAATTTTGGTTTGTTCTGTGCCTTCCAAAACGACGCCATATTGGGAAATATCAACCAATAGCATCAATGCGCGAGATGTAGATAATAATGCTATACTATCTCAGGAGGAAGATGAAGATAATGAGCCCTCATTCACATGGAGCGTAACTTGCGTAGGCGTAACCTGCGTATCACCAATCACAGGACTAGTTCAACAGAATTATTGAAACGGTTCTATCAGAATGACCCTGTGATTGGTGATACGCAGGTTACGCTACGCAAGTTACGCTCCATGTGAAAGCACCCTGAGGTAGATGACGGCTGCGAAGGCGAGTACGAAAAAGGATGCTATTGGTTGATATTTCCCAATATGGCGTCGTTTTGGATGTGTTTGTGATTGGTCGTGCGCGGTAGCACACCTTTCTTCTTACATCATGAGTTAAGCCCGCTGCAGACGATGCTATTTTTTCTGCTGGATTGCTTGCGATTTAGTAAATTACTAGGAATCCTGAGTGCTGAATGGTGCAACGATAGTAATTTATTAGATTGCAAGCAATCCAGCAGGGAAAATAGCATCGTCTGCAGCGGGCTTTAGATCATATCCAGATAAATTTGCATAGGTATGTAAGCACATGCATGCTCTAGGCTATCGTACACAAAATTGCATAACCGCATATGTATAACATAAGACCATAGACGTACAATATATTCTTAGGGTACTATAAGTCCCAGT